GTTTTGATGTTGCAGCTAGGTAGAGAAAAGTAATCATTTCTGATCAAAACAAAACAAACCCGATCGAAAAACGTTTTGTTTTGATGAAGTTATGGAACTTTTACTGAAAGCATCACCATATAGACCGATTCACGGTCGATTTTTCTTTTTTTTGAAGCACATTTCTAAGCCTATAAGTTTCTTATTAGATGAGCTAACGGAGTCAATCAATCGTCATTTTGTAGAACGTTTTTTACTACATCTTTTCTTCATAGAGACAAATTTACAACCACTTGTTTCCCTATAGAAAAATTTATTATTCTAATCGGGTTAGAACTTCTGGCCCACCCTTTATGAGAGTGAATATATTGAGCACAATAAGCACGTCGATTGATACTCATGGACAATCAAAAATGTATGATGTCGCCAAAGACGTCCGCAACTGGCTTAATGCAACTTATGGAGAACAATAGGGTGTAATAATTGGTGAAAGAGGGAAACACGAATCTTATTTTTCAATAATTAGTGATCAATTTTCTGAGGTCATAGAGACACAATTCGAATGGGTGACTCGAGTCTTTAAACAGATTTCTTAAATACGTGTTAAAAATAAACATTGGTCAGCTATTCTTAGTATAATGTATATTAACTATTGGTTATTTTCGCGCCATTACTGTATATTCCCTAGGGGATGTCCAGTTTCTCTGGTCAGACGGCTGGTCAGATACTTGTAAATAAAAAAAGTCCTACCCTGTTTTCCTGGCCAGGACCTGTTTTCAGCCTAATCTGTGAAAGAAATCAAGACCGCGACCTTGTTGTATATATGTAAAAATTAGGTGTGGTGTTCGCTAACCGCGCAAAAATCAGTAGAAACCCAGAAAGTTTTCTGGAGACCTTCCACTGTAATCGTCAGACGCGATACTTCGCTGATTAAGTTTTTAAAAAAAAGTTTTTCTTTGTGGAACTGATTCAAGCACAGCGCCCGACGCAGTTTTTCACGCGGATTACGAATCTCGTGTTCTTTCAATTCTTGACAGGAACGAAAATTTTTTTTAATGTGTCTTTTCCAGGAGTCATATCATAGCGACTTCAAAAGAGTCGCTAAAATACGGCTAAATGGGAACCGGCTTCAGCGTCTTCCATGCGACTTAGAAGTAGACGGATGGATGTGGCTACTACAGGTAGTCGCATGATGTGTCTTCAAAATAGGCGCAATTGTGCGACTAAATGGTAACTGACTTCCGTGTCTTCCTAGAAGTTGCAATTCTTTTTACAGTGCACACAGTGCGAACTCTCGATCAAGCGATTTCAGCTCAAAATCGGCTTTTTTTAGGGACGCTTTAGAAGACCCCCTTCAAAGTTATGAGCGCTAGGATGCGATATAAGACCCGGGTCCTGTATTGTGTCCATCCCTTTAGAACAGTGAAGCAAAAAATTGAGCCACGATTCGAGCTAAAAAGAAAAAGACGCTCCAGCTCCATTTCACTCACAACGCGCTCTGACCTCGTAACTCTTACGAATCACTCTTATGAATCAAAAAACTGGCAACTGTTAAAATGGATAAATTTAGCATTCATTGCTCTCGGTTTACCTTATCTATATTTTATGCCAGAATCACCTTACTTCCTCTATTCGAAAAAAGAATGTCATAAACTGGAACAACTTTTGAGACAAATAGCTGAATTAAATCAACGTCAAGAATCCGACTGCTATCCTTATTATCAAGAACTACTAAAAACCACGTCGTTAAGAGTTCTACAACAAAAGAAACTGTCATATATTCGACAAATAAAAGAATTGTTAACACATGTACCAACGATACGAAAATTATTGATTATTGGTGCAATAGGATTTACAATACTTTTAAGTTACTCTATATCAAAATATCCTTCGGATTGGCCGGTATGAAAGGCATGTCTGCGTATATTTTCGCTATCCCATTCTTGTCAACACAATATCCAGTGCATACAGTATTCATTGCGCAGATAGGGAAGTATGCGATCAGCGGAGCCGCTCCGCTCGGAGCTACTTGTGTTTCTTGGATATATATTCCCAAACTGTTTCCCACAGCGATTAGAAGTTCAGCAAATGGATTTTTTGTAGCCATTAGTCACGTAGGAGCAATTGCAGCTCCGATTATTGATACATCAAAATTACATTCTATGTTTATTCCGGCTTAGCTTGTGATCATACTTTTTCTAACGTTGTTATGCGTCATTGACTAACGAAACAATAATAGATACTTAAAAGAGTTTTGTGCAATTTAATAAATAACATCATTTTGAGAACAAAATATGCTCTTTAAAATTGACGAAGAAAACGTCTCGTTCTAATATAACTGCTAAATATGTTAGTAGTAAAAAGATCTAGATGACATAGCATTAGACACATATAAGATTATGTAATAACTACCCTAATGCATGTACTGAGTTCAGGGTATCCTGCTACTACTACACAGGTACTTTGGGTGCTGTAGTACCTTAGGGTACTTTTTGGATTTTTTAGTACTTGACTTTAAGATGCTTATGGATGCTCGATAAGTTAATTTGTGGGAAAAAAATTATTACGGAGCACTAGAAACTGTACAAGTACCCCAGCAGTACCCTCGGCGAACTCTCTCATGGTCATTATCACTATATACTGTTCCATATTTATTTTTCTACTTGTAAATGATATAGTGTTTCTTGAAAAATCGAAATAACCATGTTAGTTGCTTTTTCTAGTATTTTACCAGAATCTCCTCGTTCGATGGTCAGCAAAGGACGATTTAATGATGCGGAGAAAGTACTGAAATGTATTGCTACAACAAATGAACGAAATTTCGATCAAAATGCATTTGAACAGCTAAAACGTGACCAGGAAAAGGTACAAAATACAGTTAGATAAGTTGATAGTAAGAAGGAAAATTTTCTAAATGATACTTTTTGCATAAAAAATAGGAAGAGATATGTAATTGATGGCGTACATTGTGCACTCAAGTGAACTTTTGGCCAAAAATTGAAAGTGCGCATTTTCCAGACTCGAAGAGGGCTAAGCTCACACAAAATTCTAAAAATCTTCAATTATTACCGCTAAACACGCTAACTTTCAAACTATTAGCGCTACTTTGAAAACTAGCCTGCTGAGTAACTAAGTTTTTAAGATATGATATTAATTATCAGTCAGATCAGACATCGCTTTCAATTGTATTCGGGTTTCGATTAAATAATTTCAAAATAAAAAAAATAGTCGTCTCATTCACTTTAATTTCAACCCTGGGTTTGTTGCAAATCTAACAAATATCAGCTAAACTCGAATTTCGTAAATAACTACAAATATCTACTGTTTTAAATAATATTGATTTCAATGTTAGACTATCTTATATTTTTATTATTTTTTCATACATAAGACAAATGAATTTTAATAAATAAAATCTTAAATGGTAATAAGCTTGCTTTTCGCCGTCGGATGAAAAATGGATTTTAAAGGTCAAAAATATGAAATTTGCTTTATCTGACCGTACTAAATTATGAACAGAAACCTTATCGCGCCTTCATTTCTCAACAAAATTGCTTCAAACCATCAGATCTTTGTTAACCTTTATATTAGTTTTTCGTTGTTTTTCCTATAGAAAAGAGTAACACATTGTAAAATAACTCCTTGAATTATGTAATGACATTATGTAATGACATTTTACTTTTGGGTTCGAATTGTTTTTCTTAAGAAAATAGGGCTTATATTTGATGTTGAATACTTTAACACAGTGTATGTTTCTGCTGTTTATATATAATTTTCTTTCTTGTATCAAAAAATGCCCGAAATTAAGGGGTGTGTGTGTGTGGAAGCAAAAGAAATGCCGTAGTCAACATTTACATAAGAAGTGACTCCAATTATTTTTACAATTATATAACTTACTATAGAAACAATGAAAAGCCGAGTTTTCTGAAAACTGGTGAACGGCACTAGTTAAATACTTGAAGGCAGCCCAAAATGAGGGTAGGGGTACCCTTAACACAACAGTTAATCTATTAATTCAACTAGACTCTGTATCGTCAGTGAATTCTAATCTTTCCGAACAATTTTCAAAAATGCGGTCGAAAAATAAATTTCTCAAAAAGTTCTAGAAATTTTGGAAAATTTTCCCCATCTTTGGTAAATTGAAATATTAAAAAAAAGACATTATTCAATTAGAGCAGGTCTACTCGAAAGTATTTCTTTGCAATTTACACATATAGAGCTGCTCATACCGCCATATACTGCTTGAGCTAGAGCCGGTCGGCGGATGTACTAGAATTTCGAGCCCACGCAGTATATGACTGTGTGAACGGCTACAATATATGTGTAAAACTCTCAAAAAAAATTTACGGAATGGCTATTGGCACTCCCGGGAGTGTCAACAAGAAGCTGTTGGTACTCCCAACAAGTGTTTGGGAGTGTCAACAAGGGACTATTGGCACTCCCGGGAGTGGCAACTAGGAGCTATTTCCGTCGCCAGGCAAACTTAGTGTAAAAGCTATGTCGGAAAAGTGGTTTATTCTCCGGAGCCGAGCATTTTAAATTAAATGTTGTTCTTTTAAAGCTTTTTTAATTTTTGAGTTGTTTGTAAATGAGTTCTAATCCGCGAGAAGTATAAGTTATTTCAAGTTTCTCTCCAGTGCAATATGGTTAAATGAAAAAACAGTGTCACCGGCGTAAGTTCAAATAGTGCACGTACATTCTGTTTTCCGAAAAATGATACCTGTTTTTTTTCAAAGAAAACGCTGTGTTAAGAATTATACGGTTGCAAAGTTTACAAATTAGCGTTTATAGGTTTTTTAGTACTAATAACGAAAGACTTCTTTTGTGAGGACAACAGTTATTTGCTCATGTTGGCATCTTTCTCTATTGAATTCTTCATTGAAATAAAGTCTTGATCACTGGTCTCTGTGCTTCTTGATGTTAGTGCATTAGCAGTATTTTTACTCGAGCGTACCTCGAAAATCATACAATAAAGTAAAAGGGTTTAAATGGTACAATTAAATGGCTTACAAAAAGGTGTGCCAATAGCTTCTGGTTGACACTCCCAAACAGTTGCTGGGAGTGCCAATAGCTTCTAGTTGACACTCCCGGGAGTGTCAATAGACTCACTACAGTTAATCTATTAATTCAACTAGACTCTGTATCGTCAGTGAAATCTAATCCTCGAATGAAACCATAAACGTCGAGAAAGCACATACGATTTTGAATAAATTTGTTTTACAACCATTTATTTGAGAATTTGAAGCAATTTGGTTTAAACTATATTTATTTAAAGATGAAGAAATCCTAATAACCCTCGCACTAAATCGGCAAGTTGTCTTTACATAGTTCAAGGAGTTATTTTACAATGTGTTACTCTTTTCTATGAAGAGTAAGGAGATTTTGAGGAAGGAGATTTTGACATTTTTCTACTAAATAATAAAAAGGTCAGTAATATAAATCTGTAATGCAAACTATAATGCTTCCCTTGCTCCTCACATAAAATAATTGCTGTTTAAATCAATATAATATATACATAGTCGTTCTAGTGTTAAGTTATTTTTATAGGTATACTATTTCAAAGAGACAAGGGAAATTTTTCACAGGTAACTTATTGCACATCAAGAATGTAATATAATCACACAAGAAGCTTAACAAGTAGTTGAAAATATTGTAGTATACATTTGAGGAATAGAAAAAGTACGTGTTAACGATGCAGATAAGGTCACAGCAGTGCTTACAAAATTAGGTTTGTGTCAGGGCGAATTCACTGGGGCTCTAGCTTAATTAGAAACCTTTTTCCTCTTTAGATTTCCACTGCACAAAACGATACGAATGAAAAACTCACGCATAAGTATGAGCGCACTAAAACTGATAATCATCCCAATGACCTCCAAAATGAGACGGTAATAAGGTCCCAGTAATTCAAAGTTTGAGCACTATTTTATTTTTGTCTTTTTTATACATCGTTGAATAGAGCAAGCCGAGTTGGTATAAGCTTTATTAGAAGAATAGAGAGAATATAACAATGGCATAAACAGCAAAAAGAAAGAGGCGAACTCATTACATCATTCTGACTGTTTATAATATGAAGAACCCCTGCAAAGTTACTGTTTGATAAAAACACACGATGAAGACAATAATGTTTTTAAAACAAACAGAAAAGAGAAAAGATAGAGAACACAACAGTCGTGAGAGGTATGTCATACATTTCATTGGTACAAACTAGGCCTCTCGTTTTCCATACAGCGCTCAAAAGGTTTGAATTTTTCCACGAAAAAACGAAGATATCCTTTTGTGCTACTGTGGTCAAAATGTCTTTCACATAAACAGCTGGAGAAACAGACTGTTAAGTCTAGAGACTTCTTGCACTAGTCCTATGTTTAGTTCCTTTTCTTTTCTTATTTTCGCACGTATCAAGGCACGGGATTGTCTTCTCACATGTCAAGACACGAG